GACTCGTCGGTGCTTCGATATGCTTCGCTTCGATTGTGGCTTGGTGTTTCGACACGACAGAGGCGCTTTAGAATTAGTTGTTTCCAACAGTGTTTAACAGCATGGGGTTGCACTGCAGGGGGGCAGCCCGGCCAGGGGATGGTGCGGTCGTTCTCTGACCTCCTCTTGCTGCTCACCACAAAATCAAACCACTGCCATAGTGGCAGAAAAGTGACAGCAGTAGTGTCTCTCCCTATGACCAAGCATGTGCATGCATCACCAATCTTCTTATCCTTTGTAGAATCACCTCTGTCACCCCTGATGGGGTGTCGAACGGGATACCTCTAGAGACGATTCATGCATTGGATGCTGACTATGCTTCCCTTGTTTGGAAGTTTGGAGAGGAGCAACCGACACGTGCTTCAGACATCATGACGCGTATGCATGCCTGCATGTGAATCAAGGGGCCTGCTTGTATGCATGGGAGGGTGTGGATGCACGTGTGTGTATGGGTGGTCACAGATACACTCACCCATACGAGTGCATGCATGCAAGGACAGAGAAAGTTACACTGCCACGTCAATCCGCGCCAAACCCTCCCACAAACTCGTGTGCATCCATGTGCTCTGCATGGTTAGTAGCGACGGTATCAGGCGTCGCTGCCACATACTCTGCCACGCTAATCCACGCCACTGTGCCAAACCCGCCCACAAAATAGATGTCGCCGGTGGGGGAGGGAGGGGGGGGGGAACGGGAGGGAAGGACATGGGAGGGTTGAAGCATGGTCTCGCATACTCAGCCACGCCATTCCACGCCACCGTGCCAAAGCCCCTCACGAACGCGATGACGCGAAGCCTGACGGACGCGATTGAACTGACCCAAAATGAAGTGGAAGTTGGAATGTGGGCCGTTGATCGAGCAGGTGCGAATCTAACAGTCGAGGCAGATGCTATTTTGGAGGGAACAGATCGACGCGGAATTCAATCGCGAAGAGTCAGGAACCGTAGATCGTGTCGGTGTGATCTAAAGCCAAGTATCTGGAGGCCACTCTGTGTGTAGCGGGGGAGTGTGGTATCCTCGGGATAAACTGCTTCGTCTCCCGCTTCTGGGTCAGGAATGAAATTTGGTCCTATGCGTTCTGCTTCGTCGGTGTTGACTTGTGCAGGTGTAACGTAACCGTTGTCGGCGAGGTCGTAGAAGATTTTGGCATTGATGCTTTCGCGAGGGTTGTCGTCGTCCATCGGAATGTCGACAGGACAGTAAGGGAGAGGTCCGGCTTCTTCCGAGGCTCCATCCACATTTTGCTTGTCCAAGTCAGCTTCATCTGCTGCCGGAGCAAAGGCTCGGTCTCTGCGAAATCCACTGGTGAGGTCCCGTTGTTCTTCCAGTCGAGGGTGGGCCACTCATAGAAAATTACGTCACGTGCTGCCACTGTTTTCTTTGGGTGGACGTCGAAAATCTTCCACGCGTTGTAATTCTTTTCGATGCCCAGGTGTAGTCCCCACTGTGCGCGTTGGGAGAATCGGCCGGCTCGTGCAGCTGGGGGTCGGTACTGTACCATGCAGCCAAAAACTCGTAACATTTTTGTGCTGCCCAGTTTTCCTGTCCATAGCAGATGCGGTGATGCGTTGTTCGGGAGCGATGATGACGAGAGCAAGTTGTGCAGCATCACGGCATGGTCCATTGCGTCGGGCCACTGGTGGTTGGGTAGCCGCATGCCACGTAGCAGCTTGCGCATGGTGTTCTGGAGGGTCCTGTTCATCCTTTCTGCTACGCCTTGCTGTTGATGGGCGTAAGGAAGGGAGATGAGCCTCTTGATACCTCTCTCTGCCATGTACTGCTTGAACCTTTGTAACGTATATTCTCCTCCTCCGTCTGACTGGAAACTTTTTAACTTCACCCCTGATTCCTGTTCTGCTGCTAGAAGCCAGGCGACAAAGGCTTCGAAGGCCATGTCGCGGCTCGGGAGGTTGAAGTGCCAGACGTATCGTGTGGCGGCGTCGATGAACGTGATGGTGTAGTTGTATGCTCCTTGTCCTAGTGTACGATTGTACAGGATGTCGCTGTACACCTTCTCCAGTGGTGCGTAAGCTGGTGCGCTCGGGTTGTGGCGAGAGACGAACGGCTGATCTGGTAAGTCAGCTTCGGGACAGGTAAAGCACGTCCCTCGGACTCGCTGAAGTTCTCTCCCTTTGTGTAGAAGCAGTGAATCTTTGTTAAGTACTCCGGCTCTGATTGTGTTGTTTAACGTTGTGTTACTTGGATGTCCCATTCGTGCGTGCCAGATGTCTTCGCTGGCGCGATGTCCGGGTGAGCGTTGTACATGTCGGAGTTGGAGTAAAAGCCAGTAGTGAGGTTGGCGCTTCGGTGGACTTCTCGTGGAGTCGGAGTCAGCTGCTGCGTAGGAGTCGGTGGCGAATCGTCGACGAAGACGGGTGCCGTTGACGGGCCTGCAGTTGGTGTTGGTGTTGTCTCTGCTGCTGCCGATGATGTTCCTGCTGCTGCCGATGATGTCCCTGCTGCCGATGTTGTCTCTGCTGCTGATGGTGTTGTCTCTGCTGCTGCTCGTTGAATTGTTGCTAACGCTCTTGTTCGTTCTGGCTCAGGTATAGTGTGCGAGTACCAGAAGCCTCCAGGACTGAAGTCGGGGTCTAGATCTGGCGAGTGCGTCGAAGCGGTGAAGTTGACGATGGCGTCGCTATCGGTGGTGCCTATATCTGGGACGAAGTCGAGGACGAAGACGTTGTTTTTAAGAACGGCCTTGCCGCTGTAGAGGCCTCCTCTCCCATGATACAACTTGAACTCCTGTGTTGTGCTATCTGCTTCGAGGTGGATGCTTTTCGCCATCAACTGGCTGACGCTCAGTAAGTTGTAGCCGAGTCCCTCCGCTATTAAAACCTTTGACATTTGCAGTATGACGTTTGTTTCCCTTGACTGAAGTTGAACAACTCTTTGGCGTCGTATGCGCAGGTTCTGATTGTTGGCGACGGTGATGACAACTTCACGTTGGAGCTGATGTTCTCGTTGAACGAAGCGGCCTGAGGAGCACATGTGCTGTCCGCAGTGTCAGAATTTGCCACCCTTCACCGCCCTTTTCTCCTCTCCTTGGCAGTCTTCTTATGGTCTCCCTGTTGTCTGGCTCTGGCCTCTCTGTCGCCTTGCCTGTCACATTCACCAGAAAGAATGTCTAGGACAATCTCAACTCCCAACGATCAGCTCGGCTGGCTGCTGCTTGCACTGGCTTCTCTAGCCAGGGTTTGGGGAAGATGCTTAGCTAATTGAGAAAACATACAAGCAAGCAGAGGCCGAATGGCCCTCTGCGCCCCTAAGTACCCTTCTCTTCAGTACCGTTGCATCTTGACTGTACCTACATTCGGTTTCCCGCTTCAGGGGCCGTTACCCTTTTCTCGGCTCTTCCCGCCGTCCTCTTATGCTCACTACAAGCTATTCTACACTAATCTGCCACACAATTTCATCAAGGTTCCTTCTGCTATCTACTTTCTATTGCCTTTATTAATTGCGTGACAGCTGTCGGAATTTGCCACCCTTCACCGCCCTTTTCTCCTCTCCTTGGCCGTCTTCTTATGGTCTCCCTGCTGTCTGGCTCTGGCCTCTCTGTCGTCTTGCCTGTCACATTCACTTGCCCCCTCCTCGACCTCTGGCTCCTGGGTTGGCCGATGGATCCTTGTGGTCCTTGACAGCGAAGCTCCCGATTTCCTCCACTCGCCTGGGTCTGGCGGCTGCCACGTTGGTGATGTGGTCTCTGCGCTCCTCCCCCTTTGCCCCCACCAGAACTATCACTCCCGGGTCCTTCACTTCCCGCACCTTCCACCTCTCTGTTGTGAGCCCTATATCTAGCAGCTCTCCTCTTGCCTTCCTAAGGTAAATTTCAAATAAATTCCTTTATCAATCCGTTAAAATGATTGGTACCAATTATTCTAAAAAAAGAGTGTTCAATCAGATCAAAGGAAAGCATAATAATACTAAGAGAAGCTAATCTAAAGAGGAAAACAAAAAATATTGATTGATAACAACGCAACGGCGCAACAATCAGACGGTGCAATGATGACATACGATGTAAAAAAATCGCAACAGCGCAACGACTGGCAACAAACTCACTCCCTCTGGCCCCTGAGGCAGCACCGTGTGCACAACTACTGTGACCCTCGCGAAAACCGCCGCTGACAGCTGGGTCACGAACTCCCCCCCAGTGTATGTTACCAATTTTTCTTTACCCTTGTAAAATGCTACTTCGGGAACAGGGTACTTCCTCTCCTTACCTCGCATATACACCCTTCAGCTTTTCCTGCTCCCTTCTCCCCTCTCCCTGCTCCCCCCTCCCTCTACCACGCCCTCCCCTTCGACCCCCCCCCCTCCCTCTCACTGCACTCGGGCGCTGTCGCTGCTGGCTCAACCCCATCATCACCCCTCCCGTTCTCCCAACTCCCTGCTCCCCCCTCCCTCTTTTACGCCCTCCTGTTTTTCCGTCTTCTGCTGCTGAAGCTCCAGTTTCTTGCAGTGCTGCTTGTGAATGTCCTTGTGCTGCTGCTGCTCGTGCTCGCCGCTGCCGCCGCTGCTGCTGCTGCTGCTGCCGCTGTTGCTGCTGCTGCTGCTGCTGCTGCTGCTGCTGTTGGTGCTACTGCTGCTTCTCCTGCTGCTGTTCCTCCTGCTGCAGCTCCCACTACTGCTGCTGCTGTTGGTGCTACTCCTACTCCTGCTGTTGCTGTTGCTGCTGGTGCTGCTCGTGCTGGCTCCTGCTGCTGCCCCTGCTGCTGCCCCTGCTGCTGCTGCTGCTGCTGCTGCGGCCGCTGCTACGGCTGCCTCACCACTCATCCCCGAGGCCAAGGACATGGACAGAGTACGCATCTCAGTCGCAAACGCACTCAAACTCATCCGCTGCTCCGTTGCTACTGCCATTGCTGCAGCTAGTGCTGCTTCTGCCGATTCTGCTCGTGCTGCGTGAGCTTCTAAGGCTGCTGCTATTGCTGTTGCTATTGCTGCTGCGTCCGCTGCTGTTAATGCTACAGGAGCATTGGAAGGGCCACAAGTGGCTGCTGCTTGTGCTGCGCCATCTGTTGCTGAGCCTGTTGCTGCGCCTGTTGCTGCGCCTGTTGCTGCTCCTGTTGCTGCTCCTGTTGCTGCGCCTGTTGCTGTTCCTGTTGCTGCGCCTGTTGCTGAGCCTGTTGCTGCGCCTGTTGCTGCGCCTGTTGCTGCTCCTGTTGCTGCGCCAGTTGCTGCGCCTGTCGCTGCTCCTGTTGCTGCGCCTGTTGCTGCGCCTGTTGCTGCTCCTGTTGCTGCGCCTGCTGCTGCGCCTGTTGCTGCGCCTGTTGCTGCGCCTGTTGCTGCGCCTGCTTCTGCTGCTGTTGGTGATGCCGCCTAGACAGAGAGAGAGGAGGGGAAGAGGGAGAGGGAGAGGGGGTTGGAGAGGGAGAGGGAGTTGGAGATGGAGGGCTAGAGCTGAAGGGTTGTGCGTTGTGGCAGCCTGCGTAGGGCCACGCTCGTCCTAGAGGCAACCCCAGTATATGCCCTCCGCCACTGTCCAGGCACCCACCACTAGCCTTCACCTCCTCTCGCCTTCTCGCCCTGGCCAAGCCCCACGTGCGGCGCGGCCCTTAGCCAGAGGCGAGTGTTTTACCCGGCTGGTAGCTCAGCCTGCCCTCACAGTGGCTGCCGGTGCTGCACGGCACTTCTTCCTGCCCTTACAAGTTGGTGTGGCGGTCAGAGGGCGAGCGGAAACAATCATGCACGCAGCAAGAACTTGCCTGTCCACGCACCCCGAGGCCTTGATTCTGCAGGCGGACCTCTCAAAGCCCTTTAACCGAGACGCCATCATGCACTCACTCGCCCACTCACCGCTCTACCAACTGCCCCACTGGTGCACTTCACCTACGCCCAGCCATCGATGCTGGCTTCACAAACCCACCATTACTTAGCGAGAGGGGCGTTCGCCTAGTGTTTCCTTCTTTTCGCAGCCGGAATCCACCCCGCCCTCTCCGCCACCGCCGCTGCCCACCCCAACGTGCTCTGCGTGGCATATGCTGATGGCGTTACCTTCCGTCGGACACCCGGGCGACTGCACAGCAGCCTTCAACCACGTCAGCAACAGGCTATCAGCACTGGGCCTCCCACACAACACAACCCGCGCCAACACAACCCGCGCCAATGTGGGGCCGGGCTGACTCGCAGGTGCAATCAGAAGGCCTCCCCGCAGGTGTGCCCTAGAGCACGGAGGGCCTACCTGTACCACGTTGGTGCACAGGAGGGCGGAGCTGCATTCGTGCAGAAGCAGCTTGCAGCCATGCAGTCCCCACTTTCAAGATAGCCACCATGCAACTCGCCTCGCTGCCTCTCACCCACTGCCTCTCACCTGCTGCCTCTCACCCACTGCCTCTCACCTGCTGCCTCTCACCCACTGCCTCTCACCTGCTGCCTCTCACCCACTGCCTCTCACCTGCTGCCTCTCACCCACTGCCTCTCACCTGCTGCCTCTCACCCACTGCCTCTCACCTGCTGCCTCTCACCCACTGCCTCTCACCCGCTGCCTCTCACCCACTGCCTCTCACCCACTGCCTCTCACCCACTGCCTCTCACCCACTGCCTCTCACCTGCTGCCTTTCACCCACTGCCTCTCACCTGCTGCCTCTCACCCACTGCCTCTCACCTTCTGCCTCTCACCCACTGCCTCTCACCTGCTGCCTCTCACCCACTGCCTCTCACCTGCTGCCTCTCACCCACTGCCTCTCACCTGCTGCCTCTCACCCACTGCCTCTCACCTGCTGCCTCTCACCCACTGCCTCTCACCTGCTGCCTCTCACCCACTGCCTCTCACCTGCTGCCTCTCACCCACTGCCTCTCACCTGCTGCCTCTCACCCACTGCCTCTCACCTGCTGCCTCTCACCCACTGCCTCTCACCTGCTGCCTCTCACCCACTGCCTCTCACCTGCTGCCTCTCACCCACTGCCTCTCACCTGCTGCCTCTCACCCACTGCCTCTCACCTGCTGCCTCTCACCTGCTGCCTCTCACCCACTGCCTCTCACCCACTGCCTCTCACCCACTGCCTCTCACCTGCTGCCTCTCACCCACTGCCTCTCACTCACTGCCTCTCACCTCCTGCCTCTCACCCACTGCCTCTCACCTGCTGCCTCTCACCCACTGCCTCTCACCCACTGCCTCTCACCTGCTGCCTCTCACCTGCTGCCTCTCACCCACTGCCTCTCACCTGCTGCCTCTCACCTGCTGCCTCTCACCCACTGCCTCTCACCCACTGCCTCTCACCCACTGCCTCTCACCTGCTGCCTCTCACCCACTGCCTCTCACCCACTGCCTCTCACCCACTGCCTCTCACCCACTGCCTCTCACCCACTGCCTCTCACCCACTGCCTCTCACCCACTGCCTCTCACCTGCTGCCTCTCACCCACTGCCTCTCACCTGCTGCCTCTCACCCACTGCCTCTCACCTGCTGCCTCTCACCCACTGCCTCTCACCTGCTGCCTCTCACCCACTGCCTCTCACCTGCTGCCTCTCACCCACTGCCTCTCACCTGCTGCCTCTCACCCACTGCCTCTCACCTGCTGCCTCTCACCCACTGCCTCTCACCTGCTGCCTCTCACCCACTGCCTCTCACCTGCTGCCTCTCACCCACTGCACGTCACCGCGGGGAGAAGCGCAACAGGCGCCGGTCTGGGCGCCGGCTTCCCTCGCAGCCCAGGCGAACAACTCTCTGTCGACCGCCGTCGCACACATGTCCGCACCATACCATACCCCTCCCACACACGCGTGAGATCATGGTTGCCTCACTTGACGCACTCACCTGCTGGATGCACACACACGCCCTCTCAGCACCCGCGTAGCCACGGCAGAGGCCCCTCTCCCACCAGCTGTCAGCAAGAAGGGCTCACAAGTCGTCCTCGCGCCCCTCCTCATGTGCATGCTGCCCACCCCCTCGCCCGTGGGTCCCCTGGGCTCACCTGGTCCTGTGTGGCGGGGTCCGCAGCATCAACATCCATTGAGCTCCACTGCTCGCCCACCCCCCCCCCGCCCCCCCTCCACCTGCTGCCGCCCTCCCATCGCCGCCGCCTCCTCCTCTTGCTGCTCCTGCTGCAACTCACCAGCTGACAAACGCGCCCGCGCATCTCCCGCCTCCTCGCCTGCTGCTCCTGCTGCTCCTGCTGCCACTGTTGTTGCTCCTGATGCTGCTGGAGGTGATGCTGCAACTGCAACTGTTGGTGATGGTGTTGCTACTGATGCTGCTCTTTCCTGGACAGAAATAAATAACGGGATAAAGGGGGAAGAGAGCGGGTCAGGCAAAGAGGTGTGAGGGGGGTTGAGGTGAAGAGATACTAACGGATTAGGCGGATAGACGTGGGTGGGAAGCAGTACAGACCCTCAATCACATCAAGTTATAAGTAATCATAGAGGCACCAATGGTTGTTGTACTGCTCTGGTGCCTATGCTTAGGAATTTTGATGACCCTTTTTGCCCAGGTCGGGCCGACCTTTTCCAATCACCGACTCGGCCGTGTTCAGCCGGGTACACATCTGGCCGGGTCGGGTCCCAAACCCAATTTATGCTGGGTCGGATCGACCTGGCTTTCTGGGTTGGGTCGACTCAAGAGGGCCAAAACTGAACAAGTAGGTTCAGTTAGGAGCTAAATTGGCAGATCGTGCGCTAAAGTCCAGAATGATGGGCGAAGGATCGCGGCAAGGTTGGGCTGAGCTCAATGTCGAGATGTGTAAAACCAAGTCTGATAGCAACGGACTCCACGCGGTTGCCATCCCCCTCCTATCTCTACCTGTCTTCACGTACAACCAAGTCTGGCAGCAACCACAGCGGCACTCATACCCGCAGCATCCTGTGGATTGAAGATGCATTCATATATAACGTCATCATTTAGTGAACTTCCAGCAACCATAGCAGCACTCAAACCCGCACCACAGCATACCTGCATTGAGTGGGCGAGCAGCCGACTGAGACGGGCCATGTTAGCATTGCCGGCTTTCTCCATCGCCACCGCAGTTAACTGGCAGGAATGATGGGTGGACAGGAGCGAGAGGAGGAAGAGCAGAGTTGACATATTGGAAAATGCTATTAGCAAGAGAGGCATGCAGTGACCAACAGAACCAGAGTCACATGCAGGGGTGGGAAGTGGAATCACTGAATGCTAGGAGTCAGAGGCAGAGGAGTCAAGATGCAAGGCACACACGCACCAGCAGACGGCGCACGGTGGGGGGCGCCTGAGCCCGCTGCTGCTGCTCCATCACCGCCACGGCCTGTGCCGGGAAGGGTGCGGAGGAGAGGTGAGGCAGAGAGAGAATGGGTGCAAGGGGGGGTGTGGTGGGGAGCAGTTTAGTGGTCGGGACTTGGCCAGCGCCACTTGAGGCAGCGCCACTTGAGGCAGCGCCACCTGAGGCACGAACCGCTTATTTGATTGATTCCATCATCCCTTGTGCCTTCAGCCCTCATCCTGTCATCCTACCCCATTCCCTTGCGCATTTAGCGCTCACTTCATATTTCGCCACCCTAAATGCCCTTCATCACGCAGTGGCTGCAGTCCTCACTCACTCACCTGCTGGATGCACACGCACGTCCTCTCTGCACCCGCGTAGCCACGGCAGAGGCCCCTCTCCCACCAGCTGTCGGGCGCCCTCGCCTGGAAGCACACGCACGTGCCTTCCCTGTACTCCCTCCCCTCCTATTCGCGCCCTTCCTCGCGCGCACGCCCACCCCCTCGCTCGTGTTTCCCCGTGGCTCACCTGGTCGTGTGTGGCGGGGCCACGGTCATCAAGATCCATTAGACCACTCCCCTGCTCGTCCACCTCACGCGCCCCCCCCTCCACCTGCTCCTCGTGATGGCCCCCTCCCACCGCCGCCTCCTCGTCTGCTGGTGGCGTTGCTGTAACTGCTGATGGTGTCGCTGCTACTTCTGCATTTGCTGCTGATGGTGGTGTTGCTGCTGATGGTGGTGTTGCTGCTGCCGCCTGGACAAAAAACAGAGGGAGAAGGAGACGAAGAGGGAGAGGAGGGTTTAGGTTCACACCTGCATCACCTGCATCACAGCATACCTGCATCACAGCATACCTGCATCACAGCATACCCGCTATAGCCGAAAATCCACGTATGGGCGGGCCAGAAGACACCTTCTCACCTGGGGACTGCTGCATAGTATTGGAGCCGGGACTAGAGCTCCCTTGGCAGCAGCCGCTCAACGTCCAGCATTGCACTGCACTGTACCTCATGAGGTCGTCGTATAGTACGCTTTACTGAAGAGCCCCTCGTGAAGTTTCCTTGGAGCAATGCTTGCCTGTTACAAGTAGTGGCAAGGAAGCTGGTCTATGTCCTTTTAGTTTGCTTCGTCACCTAGATTCGACTTACCTGACTTGCCTGCTTGCTTCTTTAGCTATTTCCTGGGATGCTTAGAAAGACAAAAGGTGGAAGGAGGGGTTGTGGAGGGGGAGAAGTTCGCTCTCTTTCAAGCTCCTGTCCACTGCTGTTGCACGCCTCGTATGTCCCCCTGTTATCCCTCACATCCTCCTCACTGCCTTCCTCGCGCCCACCCCCACCCCCTCGCCCCTGGCTTTCCGTGGCTCACCTCGTCCTGTGAGTGGTGGTCGGCAGGATCAAGGTCCATCATGATGCCCCCCTGACCCCCCACCTCCCTCGCGCCCCCCTCCACCTGCTGCCGCCCTTTCCCCTCCTCCTCCTCCGCCTCCTCCTCCTGCTCCTGCTGCAACACACCAGCTGACAACCGCGCCCACGAATCCTCCTCCTCGCCTGCTGCTGCTGCTGTTGGTGTTGCTGCTACTGTGGCTGTGGCTGTTGCTGCTGCTGTTGGTGTTGCTGCTACTGTGGCTGTGGCTGTTGCTGCTGCTGTTGGTGTTGCTGCTACTGTGGCTGTGGCTGTTGCTGCTGCTGTTGGTGTTGCTGCTACTGTGGCTGTTGCTGCTGCTGTTGGTGTTGCTGCTACTGTGGCTGTGGCTGTTGTTGCTGCTGTTGGTGTTGCTGCTACTGTGGCTGTTGCTGCTGCTGTTGGTGTTTCTGCTGCTGTTGCCTGCACAGAAATACATGAAGGACAAAAACAACAGGATGGAAGGGGTAAGAGAGGAGGATAGGGAAAGAGGTGTGAGTGGGCTAGGGGAATGGCGTAAGGATGTGTGCTGTGTGGGAGGTGAAGAGATAGCGGGTGAGGCAGAGAGTCGTGGAAGGGCGAACGGGGCGTGGGTGTGAAGCAGTAGAGGGTCATAAAATACCCTCAAACAATCTGCCCAAACATCTCAGCCTGCACAAGACATTCGCTTAAGCATTCATAATATACGAGCGACATGTTCTTATATCAAATGTACTAATGGTTGTTCTGATGGTCTGGGTTTAGTGTGGTGCCTCACCTCAGGCGGATTTGGCTGCGTCTTAAAGCACTGCGTCTTCAACCGCGAGGGGACTACAGCCTTTTTAAACTTACGGCGCACTGCTGCTGCCTGCCTTTGCTTCGACGCTAAGCCCCAAAGTATGGGGCGTACCTGCGGCAGCGATGGGTGCAGCCAAGTACACTCGTGCGGCGTACCCCCCCACTGCAACTGAGCCGTGGCCCAACCCCCTTGGGGAGACCCGCACCACAGCAGACCCGCATCATAACATACCTCCACCACACCATAGCATCAAATTATACCTGCTCTACCTGGGCGAGCAACCGCAGGACATGCGTCATGCGAGCATTGCCCTGTCTCTCCTCCATCTCCGCGTATGCCTGGCGGGAACGATAGCACATGCAAAGGGAGAGGTGGAGGGACAGGAGCGAGAGGCGGAAGAGCAGAGTTGACATACTGTGACCTAGAACTACGGAACCTCTGTCGAGGCTCACCTCTGCCCACTGTGACCTAGAACTACGGAACCTCTGTCAAGGCTCACCTCTGCCCACTGTGACCTAGAACTACGGAACCTCTGTCAAGGCTCACCTCTGCCCACTGTGACCTAGAACTACGGAACCTCTGTCAAGGCTCACCTCTGCCCACTGTGACCTAGAACTACGGAACCTCTGTCAAGGCTCACCTCTGCCCACTGTGACCTAGAACTACTGAACGTCTGTCAAGGCTCACCTCCCCCTCCTCCACACTACTCCCTTCCGCAGACGCCTCAGCGCTGGCCGACGGCGCCACCTCCGCGCTGGCCGACGGCGCCACCTCCGCGCTGGCCGACGGCGCCACCTCCGCCACGCCACACAGCTCAATCACCCCACCTGTTCGCGCGCGCCTATCAGAGGACCTGGCAACGGGAGGAAGGGAGGAGAAGGGGGATGGGACGGTGGCGCAAGGGAGGAAGGGACGAGAGGGGGGATGGGACTTCCCTGCAAGGGAGGAAGGGATCAGAGTGGGTAAGGGTCGAGGCGCAAGGAAGGGAGGCGAGGGGGAAGGGGACGGTGGTGCAAGGCAGTAAAGGAGGAGACGACAAAGCGCATACGCTTGGGAGAATGCGGCAGGGTGCTTACGGAGGGGAGAACGCGGTGCGGTGCGTGCCGATGGGAGAATGAATGGCGTATCACGATCCGGGGAGATTGATAGGGGGGCATGAGAGGTGGAGGAGGCGTGAATGCAGCAGGGCGCCTGTGAATGGGAGAAAGCGGCAGGGCGCTTGCGGATGGGCGAACGCGGCAGGGCGCTTGCGGATGGGCGAACGCGGCAGGGCGCTTGCGGATGGGCGAACGCGGCAGGGCGCTTGCGGATGGGCGAACGCGGCAGGGCGCTTGTTCGGCTAATGCCCCGAATGCGAGGTGCGCGACATTGCGGGGAGGGTACCTGCGAGGCGAAGCAATGCGAGGCGAGCCCGCAATAGTAGCCGATGCGAGGGAGGCGAGGCGAGGCCGCGAAGGGAGGCGACACGGGTATAAGACTGAGTTCGTATGCAAGCTATACGACTGCGTGGATTCGCCCTTCGCTCATTCGCCCGCTGCCAGAAGTTTTTCCGAAACGGTTCGCCGCTGCACCGAATCGAGAGCGTGAGAACGACGATAACAAAACAAAAGAGATACCGGTATGCTTGATTACGTGGGGAGAAATGGCTGGAAAATGGAAGAGAACTGGTAAGAAGAGTTGGAAATACGAGGGTTTGAAAAGAGCAAAGAGAACCTCTGGCCCATTCGATAGCGCGGTACCCTGATGACCAACGAATTGGAAAAGGTTGGGTCAGGTTCGGAAAAAAAAGGCTCGACACGGAGACTCGCCGTGCGACCTCCCTGCGAAAGCCCCCAAACCGCGTACCAAGGCTCGAATTCGCCGAGCTTCCTCGCCTACGTTTCCCCTTTGCTGTACAGCGAGCCGCCCAATCAGTTGCACAGTGGATCACAAGTCTTGTTGCTGATTGACTCACGCTAAGCTCCTCCTTCCGAGCAACCTCGTGAATATTTTTCATGTTTGTGTAAAAACGAGCCAACGAAAAGGAATAATAAGGCACAGCGTGGAAACGTCTGTCGACTAGCAATGCCGCCAGGAGCATTCCGAGTGCATATCTGCAAGTATAGGTACGCGATTATTCCACCTGTCCTCCGCGTTTCGCCGCTTTTGCAAATCTCGATATCGACGTCGTTTAGAGGCTATGCTCTGGAAAAACGTGCAAGCTGGAAAACGTCAGTACCAAGGGACGGAGTGCGTATGCTTGGTTTCCCAACCGTAGCGCGACGACTTGCTCCCTGTCGCGCTGTTATTTCCTCATGTCGCGCCGTGTTTGCTTCCCGCCGAATCTATTACCCTCCGTCGCTCTGCTAGTTCCTGCTATAAACGACGAGAAACAGCAGGCTGTAGCTACGGATGGGGTGGAGCGACCATGAGAGGGCATATTCTCTACGACTTTCCCCCTTCCCTTAAGCTCCCCCCTCCTTCCGTTGTCACTCCTCCCCCCCTCTCCGCACCCACTTGAAGCAGAACGCTCACGCCCCCCCTTTCCCCCCGCAGCGGCATGGCCAGGCTCCTCTTGGCGTTCCTCAACGCATCTCAGGGCGTCCCCCAACGCCCCCCTTCACGAGTTCCTTCCCACACAACTCCCCCCCTCGCCGCGTCTGTCGCTTGCATTCCGACCCCCATGTCCGCGCTTCCCCTCGCCCGCGCGCACTAGCTTTGCGCGCCTCTCATTCCGCCATGCGTTTTGCATCACCCATATCACTGCTCCGCCCCCCTACCGCCGCTCTCCGCCATGCCGCGAGTCCTCTCTGCCGTCGCCGCACTCCGCTCGCCCCTCTCCGCGGGGCGGCCAGGCGGCGCGCCATCGGCGCAGGCGGCGGACGGCGCGGATGAGGGGGAGGAGTCGAGGGGCGGGGACGGGGACGAGCGAAGCAGCGGGGGCGAGAAGCGCGTGGTGGTTCTCGGGGGGAGCGGGCGCGTGGGGCGGTGGACGGCCGTGGCGCTGGCGGCGTGCGACGATGAGGCGACGCGCGGCGCGCGGAGTTCCAACTGGAGCTGACAGTGAGCGGGCGCAACAGGTGCGCGCCCGCCAAGACTGGCGCACACTGCGCGGAGTTCTGTGATGCTGCTTCTCGCTGCGTGTGTGCATGCGTGCATGGGTGCATGTGCCCATTGCCTCACTGCCTGTGCCACATGTGCTCAGTGAGGGCGGGTGAGAGGGGATGGTGAGAGCGGGTGAGAGGCAGTGGTGCGGGGAGGGCGAGTAAGTGGCAGTGGCTGGGGGTGGGGGTCGCGGGTGAGAGGCAGTGGTGCGGGGAGGGAGGTTGAGCGAGGTAGCTTTTCCTTTCCTCCCCTCCCCTCCGCCCGTCCCCTCTCCCCACAATCATCCCACAAGCTGTCCGTTTGACTTGCCAGAGTTCAATCCCTGCACCCTTCCCCCATCGCACCCTTCCCCCATCGCACCCTTCCCCCATCGCACCCTTCCCCCATCGCACCCTTCCCCCATCGCACCCTTCCCCCATCGCACCCTTCCCCCATCGCACCCTTCCCCCATCGCACCCTTCCCCCATCGCACCCTTCCCCCATCGCACCCTTCCCCCATCGCACCCTTCCTCCCTCTCTCCCACTCCTCCAGTGTCATATTTTGTGAGGGGCTTTGGCACGGTGGCGTGGAATGGCGTGGCTGAGTATGCGAGACCATGCTTCAACCCGCCCATGTCCTTCCCTCCCGTTCCCTCCCCCTCCCTCCCCCCACCAGCGACATCTATTTTGTGGGCGGGTTTGGCACGGTGGCGTGGATTGGCGTGGCAGAGTATGTGGCAGCGACGCCTGATACCGTCTTTACTAACCATGCGGAGCGCATGGATGCACACGAGTTTGTGGGCGGGTTTGGCGCGGATTGACGTGGCAGTGTATCTCTCTCTGTCCTTGCATGCATGCACTCGTATGGGTGAGTGTATCTGTGACCACCCATACACACACGTGCATGCACACCCTCCCATGCATACAAGCAGGCCCCTTGATTCACATGCAGGCATGCATACGCGTCATGATGTCTGAAGCACTTGTCGGTTGCTCCTCTCAAAACTTCCAAACAAGGGAAGCATAGTCAGCATCCAATGCACGAATCGTCTCTGGAGGTATCCCGTTCAACACCCCATCAGGGGTGACAGAGGTGATTCTACGAAGGATAAGAAACTTGGTGATGCATGCACATGCTTGGTCATAGGGAGAGACACTACTGCTGTCACTTTTCTGCCCCTCATTTCTTCCCTCTACCCCCCTGTGAGTCTACGCGGCAGTGGTTTGATTGTGTGGTGAGCAGCAAGAGGAGGTCAGAGAACGACCACACCATCCCCTGGCCGGGCTGCCCCCCCTGCACTGCACCCCATGCTGTTAAACACCAGCTGCCGTACCACAGTGGAGATGACAAGGATTGGGGGAAGGGAGAAGGATTGGGCCAAGGGTGGAGAAGGAGGGGGCCAAGGGAGAAGGGGAGAAGGAGAGGGGGTTGTGAAGAGGGATAGTCATTAGTGAACGGACGAAGGGAGCAAAGCGAGGATGCAAACATGAGGATGCTGTGCCACTTGCATGCAATGGACAAAACAGGACCCGCAATTCCAATACGATGCATGATGAAGCACTCCTCCTGTACTCTCACAGTTGCATGTGAAGCAAGGGGCCACATGGTCGCCTTGCCTCGCTTTCTTGCACTCTCGCTGTTTGCTCAAGCTGGACACTTGTTATTCCTTGCAACTGCACTAGCCTACAGGCTACTGCGCGCCACCCTGCTAGAAACAGCTACATGGATCGAGCAGAGCAGAGGAACGAGGCCATGGCTACAAACGGACTATCCTAATCATTACCAAGCCATGAATAATACGGTATGGAAAAACAGAAACACATGAGGTGGAAAACCGTCAGACGAATCAGACAAAAGGTCCATCGGCGTGTCACGTTGCTGTGCACATGGAATGTGATGTGAAGTGGCAAGTGATACTGTGGGTTAGCACATATACAGTAGCTACCGGCATGCATACACTTGTTTAGAAACAGTGGAACATCCAATTTTGTTGACTGCTACACTCCAGACATAAGCCACATACTTCAGTTAACCTACAGCGCCATAGACGCCCTGAGCTCCGAAACGAGGAGACGGCGTGAGGGGAGGTGCCGCGAAAGGAGGCGTCATGGAGGGAGGCGATGTGTGGGGGAGGGGGAGGGAAAAATGGGTGGCGATAAAGAGGCGATGCGAAAAGAGGAGGGGATGTGGAAGAGAGGGAGCGAGTGTTGGCATTGCAGTTGACCGCTGGGAAGGTGTGACGTCCATGCGGGTACAGCCTGCTGCTGCCCCCCC